ATAAAGATATTTACAGCATTTGACGTGAAAAGACCTCAACTTGAAAACAATTATGTCTCAAGTTCAAGGAGACCACCTGTCCAAGGTGACTACTTTTCTTAGGAGCCCTAGGTGGTCACGCTTCACTATATTGCTCACAAGTGTTTTGGCTTCCTTTCAATAAATTGTACTGAAATCAACAACACATTAACGTTCATAAAATATGGACTGCAATAACTAACGACCAAAACAACATTAAAGGTTTTGTACTGCTATTTGCTGTCCCGCAACTGTTATTCAATGTTTTCATGTCAACCTGTCATAAGTTTCCATCAGATAATGTAAAAACCTTAGAACATGGCATCATCCTGGTTAAGGTCACATTGTACATTCAGTGCACAACATGTGTAACTTGCAAGGCCTAGGAAAAATGTTGTTTCCTGTTTCATTTTCAGCCCTGAAAAAAATTAGGGTCGGTACATGTAGGTAGGGATTATCTTTCTTTTATTTTTTAGACTTCAGCTATCTCCAGTAATCCAACTTATACAATGTAACAAACAAAGTAACTTACATGAGGACACTTTCAGTTTCAATGTCAATGTTGGAAAACTGATTGTACCACACACAAAAAAGGGCTAGGGTCGGCAATTTTTTCTAGGGTCGGTAACGAAACAGGAAACACAATGTTTTTTTTTTCCTAGGCCTAACGTGTTTTCTTCTCCGATAATACCTCCTGACAAGAACACCCAGCATCTAAACTGTGGGATTCTTTTGATACAAACGCTGTACAATAATCAGATACATTCAGTGAAATCTTTCACACATTTGGGTTGTCTTTGCTAGAAAAGGTTTGTGATGTCAACCGAACTTTGTACAAAATTGTCTTCTTTCTTGTACCAGGTGTTGATTCAAATGGAATCATCCCAAAATTTGGTAGATGCAACATAATTTGCTACCCTCGGGTTCCTAATAAAAGTATAAACCCCCAGAGAAAAGGTCAAGATCTACTAAAAGTACCCCCCCCCAAAAAAAAATCAGAAAATTGACAGATCATTAATGGTGTCCAAGATGTGTTTACAATAATGTATGTCATTTCTCAGTCATGTTTTCCTTGTACATGTCATGGCTACATAAACATTAATATACAGAGCCTTGTTTGTTGTTACAGTAGCAACAAATATGACAAGGGTTTAAGCATGTTGACGTTTATATGGAAGACTGTACGTGGCTGCTGACTATTTTGTCGCCCGATGTTGTACATTGTACTTTGTTCCTTTTGGTACACAACAAAAGCCGGATGCCAGGCACTAAAACAATCCATGCCCAGGGCTCGAAATACTGGGTGCATATTTGGATTTTCTTTTTATAATAATAAGAATTTAGTACCTTATTTCTTTATAATAATTGGATATAGTACTTATACCTAAGAGTATTCTGTTTCTTACAATTTCAATAATTTTTTGTCTAAACTATATGTCATGGATTTTATTCCATGTAAAATGCCCACATTTTTGCCTTTTATGAACACCAGAAAATCCTTTTTTTTCCTAAGATTTGAGCGGTTGAAAAACTGAAACTCAGTTGGTATTTTAACTAGAGGGATATCCTTTCATTCGGATTTCCCATACAAATTTCCATTCCGACCTCAGATCCCTTTGACCTACCACAGCCCATGGTCTGTTCCAAACTATTTATAGCAACCTTCCCATACCATTGTCACTAAAACATGTAACGGGTTACATGTACATGTGTGTAGGTACTATCGCACACTAGTACACAGCATATACTTCAAATTTGAGCGCTGGAAAAAAATGGTAAAAACCATGTATTACTTGTTGAAAATTTTCAAGTTAGCTGTATTAGAAGTTGAGAGCTCTGAGGAGAGGCAGTAAGGTTTGCACTGACAGTCTACTGTATTTCTTCCATGAAAAATTATATTTTCAGCAGTGTGTCAGTATTAGTTTCATATTCGATGTATTCATAGAGCTGGAAGTAGATTTGGGGCCCCCTGGCAGCTTTCCTAGGTATTCCACCAGAATGTCTGTTCTGGACTGTGCTATGGTCACAATGTTTGAGTGGTAGATAGCTCTTGTGCTCAGGAATAAGCAACACAATTTGCATAATTGACGAAGAAATTCTATAATTCCAGTTGTTGTTTTTTTATAAAAGGCCTTCAATACAAGTAACACACCTAATTCATGCTGGGTGGAACATAAACAGATACCAAACACGCAAAGAAGCCTACTATACAAAATTAATACGAAAATGCCATAAGTCCTTAGTGATAGTAAATCATGGGATTTGATATTTGCGTGTTTAGGGTGAAATTAGTTTAGAGTTGACATCACCGTACATATATTATGCACATATGGAAGTCATTTGCATAACATAAAGAAAAGCTCTAAATATTTCATAGAGGTATGAAATCCCCGAAATCTAGTTTGATGTCGTGTTCCCCAAGTTTTTTCTGTGTACCCAGATTTTAAGGTTAGGCGCACCTGAGTGCAGTGTTTCCTGACCAGATTGGAATAAGACTGGTAGACATATGAATAAATTTTGATGGGTCTCGATGAAAATGTTTCTATTCTGAGTATTGCTATATGAGCACCAAATCTAATTTCGGCTTATCGAAAGCGAAACAAGGCCAGATACTGGGTGCTTCAATGGGCAGTTGTGTGTTACTTTCTGGTCAGGCCTAGGAAAAAAATGCTGTATTTCCTGTTTCTGAAAGGACCTTAGAAAAAACTGACCCTAGCCTTTTTTGTGGTTGCGATCCCTGCAAAGGACAAAATTTTATCCAGCTGATCAACCTTTTCTAGCTCCATGATTTGACACCTGAGTGATGTTACGTTGTACAATCAGTTTTCGAACATTGACATTGAAAATATAAGATTAGTGTATTGTAAAAACTGAGTCTAAAAAAAAACATCTAAACAACATCTAAAAAAAACAAATCCCTTCCGACCGACCAAAAGTAGGACTGAAACAGGAAACACAACCTTTTTCTTCCTAGGCCTCAGTATCTTTGAATTCAAGCCTGGGTTCTGACAAGATTTGTGCCTGCATTAGCTTATTGGTCCAAACTGCCCTGGCCTGGCTGCCATAGAAGTTCGGTCTGAAGGTTGCCCACAGCAAGCCAGTCAGCACCACAATACAATATAGACGGGCTGCCTGCATCCTGCTTTCAAATGGACTGCAACCATAATGGCCTCTATGCCCATGCCAATTCGTGCATGTCCTATATCGGTCAACCTTACATAGCCGGACCTGGAGACGAAGCACTTTTTTGCACTGCATCGATTTCAGCACTGCGCAAAAACTGCACCCCTGCATGCGACTTCAAGCTTTGTAGCACATTAAGAAGATCATTTTCTAACGCTGTAAAAATGGGTATAATGCAGCGCTCTACCATCACATGATGAGTACATGGCATCATCAATCTATACCAGTACTATTGGTCCAATAATATATTGCAAAAGTGGAGAAGAATCATATACCTACAGTTCAATATATTATAATATCATCTCAGTAATACCATCAATGTTTCCCCAAAAAGTTAATAAAAGTACACGCTTCTATCTAGAGAAAATTTTAGTAACATAGGCACTGCATGAAAGAAACTACAGTACATATAACCTGTCATTTATGTTAACTACTTAAGTGATAAATATAAGTGTGAGCAGTATAGTTGTGTCTCATATTACATCATGATCATTAGACTGTGACATTTCCACCAAACCTTAATAGGGCAAGAGTGTTAAGTATGTAAAAATACAAACTGTACTATCAAAACAGCTCACACTCTTCAAGGCCTGTGTTATTAATGTCGTGGGAATTGCCTGTGTGTTGGCCACTTCAATGAATAATACATTTGGAACCTACAAGCAGACCCACAGGTCACTTTCACATATACTTAGCACAAATATTCTCTGGGCCAGTCAACAATACAATTATTTCTTAGATCTCAGGCAGGCGAAATCAAAGTCTAAAAGAAAGAGGGACCCTGTGATAGGCCAAAATGCTACCACAGGTGCCACAGAGTCAACATACCAGGCCGGATAAGCATTACTTAACATATAATTCTCAACCTTACAATGTATTCACTTGCTTCAACTGTTTGGTAAAATATTGGCGTTTGGGGGTTGATTCCCATCCAATATCCAAAATCATGGTACATGTGGACTTCTTTTTTTCTTTTTAAATGAACCGAAAAAAGAATCAGGCAAATCCACAACCAATAAATCAAATTATTGCAGCCTTATGCTAGCAACTGTTCAAAGTCGTGCTGATTTACAACCTTCATACAACCTTGAAACATAACTGTGCACCGCGTTAGAAATACCCACCTGCAGTCTGCATTTTATAGAGACAATTTCAATGTTGCCGAAGAAAAATTAAAAGCAATAAAAATATGCAATTATGCAGACTGGAAAAACAATCAGGCTATGGTTTCAATGGAGTTGGCCTTCATGAATATGGCCATAGCTTCCTCCAGGTGTGTCGCGCAAACAACATATCTTACTTCTAAACCCTGGCAGCGCAGGGGCAAAATTAGGCACTTCTTTGCTGTTGTTGCTATCGGCCAGTTTACACAAGGCAAAAATTTGTCCTACGACAATCGCTATGCAGCACCACCTGGCGATTGTTGTACGACAGATGATTTTTTGGCCTCAGTGTAAACTCAGGCTCTATGTCGTTTCCAGAGACTCTGGACTTGAATCAGGAACCTGAACAGAACCCAAGTTTAGGTGCGACCTTTATAATACGTCATGATGTAAATATAGACAATATTAGGTTGTGAAGGTTGTAGTATGAAGGCTTGTGTATCAGCAGAAAGTATTTCTGACTTGCAGAACCAAATTTTGACATTCTGCAATATTACAGAATGGCTAGAAAACGTAGCCTCAGGGCGCCATCCGGATCTTCGCACCGCAACGCTCGAAAAAATCATATGATTTTTTTCTCGCATTGCAGAGCGAACATCCGGATGGTACCCAGGCTAGAGAAAAGGAGGTGTGTACCTTTGTAGTGTTCAGCCGGGTCCACAGGGTTACGGATGATGTCCAGCAGTTGGTGCTCCATGAAGCGCATGTTGTCCAGTCCGCTCTGCTGACGTTCCTGTTGCCATGCCAACACACGGAATAACAACAACAAAATAAAAATAAAGTCATTCAAATCCACAAGCTCTGCATAGTTTTTTAGGGTCACAGGCTAAATATGTATTTTTCATACATTTTTCTGTCTGCTACAGTGCAATTTTTTGTCATATTTTATTTTTTTAGAGTTTTTAGAGTTCTCTGTAATTCTCCAAAAAAATAATTTTAGGAATATGTTGTGATGGCTATAATTCTTCTTTGAAAAATGATAAGAACATTAAAATCAATAAATCTGTATTTTTATGTGTGTCATCACAATTACAAAGAGCACTGAATGCTACACACACAAAATTTCCTGTAAGATCCTCCACATTGCTGTTCTTTGAAATTGTGAACTGATACAGCTTTTCTTTATATACACACACCATATACATGTACAATGTACTTTTGTAAGGCTATAAGATCTTATCACAGTTTCAGTGGGGAGTAGAAAAAGGAAAATGAAATCTTTCTGATCCGGTATAAAAGCCATGTGACACCACGCTGGCAGGGACAAAAGGTCAATTAGTTGGTTAGTTAATCCATGCGGGGATCTTGTAACAAAACCGTCCCATATACTTTTGCAGGGCTTGAAATACTTCGTTTTTGGTAATACGCGTATCTAATTTGTGGCACTGAGCCTGAATTCTTTCAGTTTCAGCTTGCTTCATATTGCTAAGTATTCAGAAATTATCAAGACTCATGTCTCCCTTTGCTGTATCAAAGGCTGCTATGGCTGACAGTGTGACACAATACTATGGGCCACACTAGGACACCAGTTCTTTAGAGAATGCAGCATCTGTCTATGCCCGTTTTTAGTCCATCCAGTCATCTGACCTACATGGACTGTTAATAGTTCAACCAACAGTTCACCATAGTTTGTCCTTGTGCTTGTTGTCTAGTAATAGTGTTTCAGGGGGTGTAGAATGCATCTTCTTTTTTTTCAGGGGTAGGGCTTTACATGTTACTTTTTGCATGTTCCAGCATCAACAAATTGGGCGACAGAATCTACATCTGCATTCGGCGAGAAATATTGATATCCAAGTATTGCATCTGAGCAATGGGATCCACTGCAGCTGTGGCCACCAATTTTTCTATTGATCTCCGCAGCCTTTTCCTCCAAGACTGCCCACCGAACAATACCACTGCCCCTCTCTCTCTGTTTTTGTGTGCTTTTAAATAAAGCTACTCCAGGATGTTCAGGACAAAAAAGGGACAAAACCTATAAACAAACACTTGAGGCATTTGGCTCGCTGAGCGCACATCCTGGTGTAGAAAGAAGGGGGGAGAAGACTGGATAGTACAGCCTACAGGGGCAGCAAAAATGCAAACACCTGCTCCATTGGGCCAGGCACCCCTCCGGGAGCAATCATTGGCAACTGGGTAAGAAAGACCCATCTTTTATAAAAGGCAACCAGATTTAATATTCAGTATTGGTACAGTCCAATCAAGGACAAAATATATAGGGTCTCAGATTTTGCCCACCGCTTTCTTGGATACAAATTTTGGTTACAAATAAAAGTAAACAATGACTACTGAGGGTGAATTTTCTAAAATCCTGCTGACCATTTTCATACTGCGAAATTGAAACATACTTTAGGACAGCATTGTAATTCACTGTGAGCACATGGGGGGGGGATACTTCTTTTATTAATAATTTGTATGCTCAAAAATAGAAATATTCTCTAGTTTATGAAATAAACAGAAGCTTTGAGATTCTGGCTTTGACGTTAGATTTTTCCTTCACAGAAAACCGGCCCCCTATCCTGAGCTTGCAGCTCTATGAGTGTGTGTTGTTTCAGGCCAGGTTGATTGGTGGCAGGGCTGGGAATAGTTTATTGAAGGCACAGCTGCCAGAAGGGGTGGGACCTGGCCTGCTTCATTAGGCACTAACCCATTACTCCCTTCACTCAAGCCCCTTCATCATGCCATTAATAGACAAAAATTCATGGCGAATAGAATTCCCTGTGAAAAATCGCTGCAGAGGAAAAATGCGGGGCTACCCAATCATACATTCGGTCACTGTGGCCAATATACGACGTCATATACCAACAGTATATTCACACCGTAATAAAAGATATTGTAAACTAACCAGCCATAAATGGTCACACTATACCCCTAGGATTTTACCCAGTTCCAGAATGGGTTGGCAGTTCCCATGGTGTGACGTCACGAAACAGGATTTAGGGGACAGGAATTATCTTTGTTTTTCCACGCTGTATCATGGGTACACAAGAATGAATGTGCACATTTCACCTCGTACAGGTAAATATTGCGTGTGCCACAAATGGGCAAAATTGAGTAAAACAATCCAATACAAAGAAAACATGCTGAGATCCCGCTAACAATAACAAAATTTTGACTCTGCAGAGATGAATAGATCATATTCCAATGATGATCGCGAATATTCACCCAATGCAGACTTGGTGTTGCCAGGAGAGCTCCACCCCCCTATTGGGGGCCATGCCATTCCTGCCATATTGCATATTGACTACTGCTCTCCCACTCATGTGAAATATCCATATCCATAACAGCAATAAGTACATACAATCTGGGAGAAACTACTTACACAGAATTGTTAGTGCTACAAAACAAGACAGGCCCGCGAGGGGTATGGGTGGGTTTTGCACATGTATCATATATAGAGGTAATAATATTGGATCACAAGACAAGTACGTCCCCACCCCCACCCCACGTTAACCTCACAGTCAGAGCTGTTCTGCTGTTTTCACATAATTCCTGACAGAAAAACATGAAATTAGGGTTAACAAATTGGGCTTGTGGGATGACAATTGGTGAATGAAGCCTTACGTAGGGCAAAGATAGATAATTAGAGAAAAATCTGGCTTTTTTGAGAGAGAGAAACAAAATTTCGCTTATGCCGTAGCTGCTGTCGTCACTGTGTCTTGTGACCGGCATACTGATGGCCGCCGTGTTCTCTTGCGTTGTTTCGATATTGAATGTCGGGGTGTAAGTTTCCAGTCAGAAATGTGTCTTTATGGTTAGATTTATTTGAAAACGAAAGGGAAAGGGTCTGTTTGGGTTTTACGTCCGGCTCCATATGCCACACATCGCAAGTTACAGCCCACAGATAAGCGGCTGTTTCCTGCAGCCAGAATGAATGGAGCCATATCCGCCATGTTGTTCTGTGTGCTTACCTGTACTCCGTACATGTCCGTACGAAAAATGTCGTCTCCCGTGAAGTCGAAGGGAGCTGTACCTTGAGGGAAGGGCCCTTTAGCTGGCAAGGAAGCCGAGCGTCGATAAGTCTTGGCAAAGACGTTGGGCGCTTGCTGCTGCTTCTTGATCGGGGCAATGGGCCCGGGGGTGCCCGTAGCGGCCATAGACCGTCGCTGCTGCCCCGAGGTTCCCCATGGGTTGAAGCTCTGAGCCGGTGTGGAGCTCCACATACTAGCCGGCTGTGGGCTATTCCAGACTGAAAATGAACCAGATTTATTCTGCAAAACATGTTGGTTGGGTTTGACGAGGGAAACCATGAGCTTGTTGACTGGGTGATCGACGTTGCTGGCCAGGAGCACTCCCAGCCGGCAAGGTTATCTGAGGTGCGAGCTGACTTCCCCCGAACAACGGGCTCGGACCAGGGGCCGGGCCGGGGAAATTTTGGAAGTGAATGGTACCGTTCAAGGTTGGAATACCCTGCATGAAAACCGTCCTCTGCTGCGGCTGAGGACCAGAAGTTGGTTGGTGAGGTGACGGTCGGGTCCTGCCAGCCGAGCTGCAGAGGCGACTCGATGGTCTGTGTCTGTAGCGGCGGCGGCTGATGTTGCTGGTGGTTCTGCTGCTTGTTCACCGCATTCTCCTTACTCACAGGGCTCGGATCCGGCGATCGGGACTTTCTCCCCGGAGAAAGCTGATCCTCCAGGTTGTCTGTAGCTTGTTCGGAATTCGGCGAGAGCTGTTGTGGCGTTGGCTGCTTAGCAGCCGATTTTTCTGCCAGCAAATCATCTTGCATGGTCTGGGCAGGGCTCGGAGACAGCGGTGAAAACAAAGAGGCAGTACTCGCGTCCGGGTATAGTTCCAGAGGTGACAGGGCCCGGGAGTGATTACTTGTTGTGTTCAGTTGTAGTCCGAGATCGAGATCCCCCATCTAGCGGTGGCTCCGGCTGCTCTGTGCGCCTGTTTATGGTGTTAATGTTAGCTACGCAGTCCAGGCGCACGGTCCAACGCCACGTACCTACAAGCCGAATGAAGAATCTGCTGTTCACTACAGCTTTTGTTCCTCCCCCGGCCGTCTCAAGGCGGCCCCCGATCACGCGCTGCGATATCAATTTGCTCTCCAACACCGCGATATTAATTCACGAACGACGAAATCGACTGTTGAAATATTTTATACAACGGTTTACCAGTTATACACAATACCACCAATAATTTTACAATACGAAAACTGGGAATATTCGTCCCGGGCAATAAAAACAAGGGACTTTAAAAATAGGCTGGTCCGTGCACGGAATCGAATCAGTAGCCGGGTGTTTTCGCGGGAATCCGGCAACAATTACTTCCGGGTTCACAAAAGCGGACGTGTGCCCAAAGCAGATTATGTACATGACGAAATCCATTCTGTACACATTGATAAATCGGACGTGCAGCTTTTGAAATGGATATAACCTTTTAGGCTCTCACTCGTGTGTTTGTTAGATGTCGTACACGGTACGAGTTGGGAATTGATAAGGCCACTTTCTGGATAAATTCTCTGACAGGTGCATCGTCGGCCGAAGCAACTTTTTTTCACTTTTTCGTTTAAATTTGTTTTTGGGTTCTTAAATCACACATGTACACATGGAAACGGATAGCCAGAATATATCTTAAACAGAAATTCAAGGACAATTTGTGGGAGATTTTGGTTTCAGGGGAAAATCTAACCGGCGTTACACGTATTATTGCATACCGTACAAAGTATTAACTGTTCTATCGAAACTAGCATTTAATCAATAGAATTCCCTGCGTTTTGTAATCCGTCTAAATTTTTTGGGTAGTCAACATGACAATTGCGTTATTCTTATTTGCCTAAATGGGAAAGTGGAAGTATCATTTTTCGCCAAGCCTGGAAGAAGTGTCACAGGGATATGTACACAAAGGAGTGTGCATAGTCTTAGAGCCTAGAGGACACACGACACAGGACAGATGCTTTGAGAGAAACGCAACTCAACCGGGTATTCATAACATCCGTTTACCGGGAGGATAAAGACACAAAACTAGCTACCGGTATACCATGGTCCACCATGTCCCCAACGATCGAGAGGCGATATGACTGCATATTTTATAAGTTATATTAACATAGGGGGTTCATTTCTGCTTAGATGTGGATTTTGTTTTCCACAACTTGGTGGCCGGTATAGATCTAACACTACAGAAGAACAAAAGCAAATTCTGATCTGAAAAATATCATGTTCGGTCATATCATTTGATTGATCAATGGAGAAAATGACACCATGGAGTTAAAAGACACTACCTCCATGATGATACTAAAGGTGCCCAATGCAGTTTTCAGGACTTGAAAAACAGATTTTAAGTCAACATTCTACATCATACATTTGTACAAGTTGAAACAACACTATTCTAATGTATATCGACACGCATGGAGCAAAAAATGTGGCTTGTTTGTGTGCTTGTATTAAAGAAACACCCGAAGTATGGATTACTGATGAAAACGTGCTATGAATGTGGGGCAGTATGTGTCAATTTCATACGCCTTATTCATTGTATTCAGAATCATCCAGTTTTGCCAACCTGGAATTGCATTGGATGCCGTTGAATTCAAGGAGAAGATTTTCAACGTTTTCTGCTAACATTATTTGGACTTCTTACAATCTAACCAAGGACATTATACCTGTGTATAATGTCCTTGATCTAACCTTTTATAGAGTCCCACTCTTTTTCATATAGCATAATGCGTTTTTAAACAGGTGCATCGATGTTGTCATGGTGCTAATGCGTACATATGCTAGACGAAACCCGTAGGAGTGGACCTCTAAAAGCCATTATTAAATACAATTCTGAAGATTATGTAAGTTTGCTTGACGTCATTTACGCGTGTTCAGTTTGGCCGGTCGGTCGGTGCGGTTCGTCTGCAGTCCGACAAGGTCAACGACCTGCCGGGTGTTATTGGTCAATTGACTACTGCAATTTTTTCCAAAGCAGACAGGCGGCGCTACGTGCAGGTATACTAGTATAACGCGAGCTCAAGGTGGATGGAGAAGTGAGGAGGCGTGGCTTCTCGTTGGACGAAGTACCGACTCAGGACTTTGAGTGAGTGAGTGAGTGAGTGAGTGAGTGAGTGAGTGAGTGAGTGAGTGAGTGAGTGAGTGAGTGAGTGAGTGAGTGAGTGAGTGAGTGAGTGAGTGAGTGAGTGAGTGAGTGAGTGAGTGAGTGAGTGAGTGAGTGAGTGAGTGAGTGAGTGACTTCAGATTGAAGTCGGAATGCGTTGATGCCGATTCTAAACGATTCGACCTCCCGAGGCGGTTTGGGATCGAGCCGGTTTCAATGTGATCTGGAGCGCTCAGATATTGAGCCACATGAATCTTGCTTCAGCGAGCGCTTTAGCGAGCTAATTATAAAAAGGGAGTTTTAGTGACTTCATATTTGTTACAATGCAAATTATTTAGAAGTGAGAGCCAGAGGTTGGTAGTTGGGAGAGTCTTATGCAATGCATATGGGTGTGACTTTCAGCAACGTCTTGAAAATAATAATATTGATCTGTAGTATCTGTAGATGAAGCTTCGAAGCTAGTTAGAGGCTAAAAAATCCCCAGGTTTGAAAAAAAAATTCAGTGTCAGCATACGTACCCAGCGAAAACATCAGAGTAAACGTTGATTACAATTTCACCAGCAGCTATATCATTGATTTGCTAGGATTCGTAGTAGAGGACAAATCATTTAGTACATGCCCCACATAGCCTAGCCCTTTTTCGTAAGCCGGTGGTGCCCTTTGTGTGCAAAGTCCTTACTCGTATGATGACATTATAGTGTAATTACATTTAGCCCACGGGGAGGCATGATGGTGCAAGTAAACCAGGTTACACTGATGTACGGTAGGGCTGCGTACCTAAACGCAACATCAGGTACAGGTACAGGTACCGGTACAGAGGTTTAGGTACAGGTCCGGACCTGTACCTGTACCTGAACAATTTGACAAATTAACACGTGTTCTTCACTTTTTCAATCATGACACAAACAATAATAAAGTGTTGACAACTTGTCAGTATCTTCCAATCACAACCCTGGATCAGCCACACTCTCGCGATGTCTCGTGAGACTGAGGATCTCAAATCAATCGACGGTGTTTACGTCTTTTCCAGTGCTAATTTTTCGCCTTTGTGGTAGGATTTACCTATCTTTAGTCATATACATGGTGTAAACTAGCTATTTCGGTATATACTCGTTACTTCATGATCCGGTATTTTGGACCTGTACCGAAACGATTTTTACGGTATTGGACCGGTACAGTGTACCGGTCCGCAGCCCTAATGTACGGCGTGCAACACTCCCGCTTTCACAGAAAATGGACAACATTAGGATTGGCGTGAGCCATTTTCTACCCTGGAGACCGATTCATGGCGTAATGTGATTCATCTTGATGAATAAATTAACGGCATTAGTGGGACAGGTTCTGTTCAATGGTTGGTTGGTTTCTTGGCTGATTGTTTGATCCGGATTGACTGATTGACTGACGGCGAGATACACGCATGCATGAATGGGCGAATGGATGGGTGAATAGATGTATGGGTGGATGGAGAGATAGATGGATGGGCGGATGTGGATGGATGGATGGATAGATGGATGGATGAATGGATCGAGCATATTTCCGGAGTGTGGGAAGGTATTGTGATATCTTAAAAAGTAGCGATCCAAAATATGAATGAAAGACCTTTATTGTACATTTGTGGTCTTACAAGCTAAGTACAGGTCATGTACAAAGCACAGGGATATCTCACTAATGTGTACTAATGTAAACTACTGGTTAGACTAGGCTATGTACAATTTCATTTTCTTCTCGCTTCTTTCGGCAGCTGTAGATGTATTAACACTTGGGGCTGTATAATACACGGTTTGTCTAATTCCGTAATGAATAAAACTTTTTTCCGTTCCATCCAAATTTCGAAAACCGTAAAACTTATATGGTCCACACGCAGTCACCACCAAGTGAAGACCACTTCGTGCAGCCATTTTGTGCACCAGGGGCACTGCGGCGGGCTGTTCTCGGCGCCACGCGCACTGAACCCCCGACTACTCAGCTCCAACGTCAGGCACTCCATAAACACGTCCACCTCCGCTTTCTTACTGGTGTGCAGAGGATGGAATATACAAAACGCTTTCTGAGTCACGTAACAGTTATGCCCTTCTCCCGTGGGGTATTCGTTCTCTTTAAAATTACGCTGTAACATAATTCCGCTCAGACCTATCTTAACCGACGTTGTTCTGTAGGGACATTTCGACAAGGGCTTCCTCGCTTCTTCGACAAGCGACTCCAGTAAGATTTCAAAGTCGTCGAAAGTTTTTAAGTAGTCCTGTCTAAGTTTTTGAGCTGACAATGTGGGGGTGTTTGCCAGTCGAACCATCAAGGGTTCTAGTCCGTAGAATTGAGCTTCGTTGTACGCCTGGCTCAGAGAGTCTGGCGGTATGTCGGGTAGATCGTCCGTTCTGAGGAAATCAAGGACGAATTTGAAGTAGGTTCCGTCCCTGTCGATGAAGTAGCGCCCGTCCTTGTCGCGGGCTAGCCGGTGCCTCCCGCTGAACATGGTGGCTAGCATGGACTCTGGGTACTTCCTCAGGGTCGTCAGGCAGGTGGTGAAGTGTGTCCCGCCCACATTCAGTTCCACTACGTCTGGAAACTAAAAAAAAAAATTAGAAAGTAGTTATAGGTGAAAAGGAGACAATAGGTATAATTTATCTTTCTTTGCCCGGAGGCTAATTGCTTTTCCAGTCATATTTAAAGTCCAAAAACCCACGTTAAGGATCTCGCCCCCTAGCGGTTTCTACCGACACTACCAAAATCACGTATTTGCTACCATACTTTTGCATCTCTACTTTTGTGTTTGTTAGAAGGTAAAAGTATGTATTGTAATAATAAAACAAGCAAAAAAGATTAACATTCCATTTTTTAGTTTTCTGCATTTTCTGTTAGTTGAGCAGAGCTCGAACAATCATTTTAAACATTCACCGCTGATGGATATTCAAATAAACTCTAAAAGAATTACACAGGAGTAATTGATACTTGGTCGCAAATACTGCGCTATTTTACTTTTGATTGATACGAACCAATGACATTACATGGCAAGAGCGCCACCATGCATGCAGTTCAAGATCAAAACATGTTGATAAAAGGGGAGGGTCACTCAATGCGTGGACTAACATAATAACTTATCGTTGAGTATTGGCAATACCACAAACCTCTTCTGATGACAAGTTGTTGTCTGCCATTTTGTCCGGGACGTACTATTGGTATAACTGTCACATGTAATGATTTAACACACGCGACCTGAATCTTGCGTAGTTGTAAGCCAGTGAACTCTGAAAGCTATGACTATATAGTCCTACGACTCTAGAAGCAAGGTGGGTACATGCAGCTGTAACTTGACTAAAAATGCAACTGCACGTTCTTTCTACGCTGGTTCCGAGTGCACGGTAAACTATTAGTATCATAAATACTGCCGCGCGCAGCTCATCATCAAAAGCCATCACGGTGATTCCATTTCAAGTCGTCAGGGCGGCGCCATATGCACTAGTACCTGTCCATGTTTGATACCATTTACCTGTCCAACCAGTACTGGTGACCTCATACAGTACTTCCAGGTCAACAACCGGCTGTCACACGTCGTACGTCACTTCCTTCCCGAGCGTTTACACGTGACGCAATGTGCGGATCGTCAACGCAGGTACTACTGGTCCCTAGTACAGCATTGATCGGTACCATAGGGCGACAGGCACCACATATTGTAACACTGTCGAAGTATATCATATAGGGATTCTTACTGTAGGGTCAGAAAGCAACACATACTGACCTGTTGACAAGTCGTTCATTAGTTTCTGACCCTTTAATATGTAATGTTTCACGGCTGCAGACATTTTTTTTTATTTCAACATTTCAAAAGAAAATAACACATAGTGGTGACGCACCCAAGCGAAATAGCTGATATTAACGTCACCACTGGACATATAGTAATAATGGCTACACGAGACAAAATATCAAATGCGTAATGTCCGATGTACACGTACAGGAATAGAATTAAACAAAAAATGTAGATTATGTTATTTAGTATGAATCAGTAAATAACATCGTTTAATTTAGTTTCATTTGAAATTTGATGTCTTGTGCCGACGTGCCAAGATATGGTGGCATATGCATACACGATTAGCGAGAGCCACTTTTTTTAGGTATATAGCAGGTGCTGAGCAATTGGCACCTCATCATCATGGGACTATTTTGGGTTCTGAAAAAGACGGTAAAAATTGAAGGTGCAAAATATTTGCCTTATGTTATAGCCGCTATGTGACGTTGCTTTGTTAAATTCTTGCACATGCACCACTACTGTGCGTTTATTTTCGAGGGGTGAAAAAGAACCTAACCGAAGGATTTTTCTTTAAATTGAACTAAATATATATTGTAACGTTGTAGATCTAGACTACATATACTTATTATTCTCCTCGCACGGACTGTCTGAATTCCTTGAACCTTACGTGACTAGACTCAGTCGAGCCGTTACCTTGAAGGCGCAAGGGTCAGTAAGGGGCCACACTTGACAGTCATCCGACAGCTCAGTTGCCGGCCCGCTGGCGACCTTTCTTAAGTCTTTGATAGACTTGCCAGAAACGACGAAAAAGGTCGTTATATAACGTATTAGCCATTCCAAGACGTTGAAGAAAATGTTACCTTAAAGATATAAATTTCCTTTAACAGTTTGTCCCACACATATTGGAGAAAGCCAACATAATTTTAGCAATATAACAGTTAACGTTGATTATATCCGCTAAGTTGCTTTACAATAAAGTTTATTTATTTATCTATTTGTTGACTGATTGTTGGGATCTTTCCTAAACTGTGTAATTTCTTTTCACACACGTACTGCTATTGTTAACGCGATAACGCGCTGTTCACGATTTCCAATACGCGTGACAAGTTCTTGGTAACACCAAGTTTTAGCTTCGTCATTCTTCCTGCCCTAAATAAGATTATTCCATTCGAAAAAAAACTGGTCCGCGCTGCCTTTGACCAGTCGGGGAACTAATTAAAACTAATCAACCTCAAATAAAGAAGGATCACTTCAGCTTCCATTTCTACCTTCATTTCTTGATTATCTATGACAAAAGATTTCCTTGATAGTTACTTTTTTCATGCAAATTGTATTTTTTACCCCACAGAACCGACTCCTTTTCCGTTTCATATGTCGAGTACCCCCCGCACAACTCAAATGGACGGGTCCATAAGCTCCCTTTTTCCGTCACATGACTGTTTCCAGTGATGTGATTGGTGGAGATGACTTTCCGGCTGCATTGGCATGGCGAGCATGGCGGCGGTGGTGGGGTAGTGAGGAGTCGTCCTGTACTCCTCTCTCTTCCCCTCGGTTTCTCAGCTGACATTTGTACCCAGGTGCTGCGGGGTAGATCACCCACGAGACCGACTCCCTGCAGCGGCGAGGATGGACGCGGACGACCCGTACGAGAGCTTGCCGAAGGAGAGCAGCTTGGCGGCGCATCTTGGAGCTGGCGCGCTGGCAGGCATGGCCGAACATTGCATAATGTACCCCGTGGATTCTGTCAAGGTTAGACCATCGCACACACCCCTCTGCTCAAACATTGATAAATATAGAATTGGTAGTTACCTAACACTCTTACGAAAGTTCCTGAAGTTACTGCCAACATTCTTTGGTATGTGTGTAAATTTAACAATAATATATTTTGATGGACATGCGTCTATCTTTGATCAAAACCATGGTAGTCCAGCTCGCAAATATTATAGCACAACCATGAGAGATTCAAAATTATCCTTCTCGAATACCACATCTCAGTTGCCAAGTCTCTGCGTGTCATCAGATCGTTTTGAAGTTGTTTGAAGTTACAAGCAGCTGTAGCCCCATTCAACTCGGCTTGTTTTTTCAAGGGGAAAACTCATAAAACCAACAACTATATAAGGTGGTACGCTAATATGTGTGCGCATGCTCAGTGTCAAAGGTGAACCCCCCTCCCCCCAAACAAAACACGTTTCAGGATCTCAGAGACCCGCCCACCTTCAAAATTATGTTTGACGCGTGCAGTTCACATCTTAGAGGCCTTGGCCTTTTTTCACGTGCCAAAAATACATGACTTTGTATATAAAACCTACATGTTGAGTTTCCTTGGGCCATGATATAATTTTGTTGTATGCTGAAAACTAGATACTTCCTAGATACTTAGATTGAAGTTAAATGAATGCACTCTCTACTCTCCTGACCAACTTTGATAGTGTCAGGTTCTGGAATTTTTTTTTAGCTTACCACCACTACCAAACAGCATGATAATATAGCAAATGCAAAATCACAATGTGGTGACCCTATTGAGGTCAAGACTTGCAAGACATCAAGCAGCTTGTATGATTCTTATGTTAGATGTTAATATGTGGCAAAGTTCTCACTCAAATCTTCTTCTGACGTTGTGATCCATTTGTGAGACAGTTCAGCTGTATTTACATGTTATCAGTATATCACTGATTTCCTGTTTGACTTACATATAATATATATCTACCATGATGGTAACGTTAATGATATATGAATCATAAATTTAGTACTATTAATACTGTTACAGTAATGGAAACAAGTAAGCTTGCAATGAAATTAAATACTTTTTACAAATAATCTCTCAGCCATGAGACTTTTGGGCTGCGTTGTGGTCGAGTGATTCTATTATACCTATACGTGTAAACACGTACAAACATGGGTGGGGTGAGAAAGAAACAAGTGCTTAAGCTAAAACAAATCATTAAAGATTAACCAAAACCAAGGAAAGCAAGCATAGCCCATCCTGGGTGTGTAACATGTAAGTGAAGGACGACATTTCAGGCAACTCTGCAGTTCTAAATGTTTCTCCATACTCTCATTTTAACAGACGGCTATTCCGAGATCAGGGTGCGCCAATGGCATCGTGCATCGTTATGTCAATCTTACTCTGTATTTATCGCATTCTGTTGACATTTATCAAACTTGTTATACTAGTACAGTTATTTTCCAGACAATCAGGAAGAGATTTGGTGTTAAGATGTTTAAAACTTATGCTATGGCCAATTTAAGACCAGAAATTGGCATAAAATCTACGTTATGCTGTTGCACTTGAAAAATGCCAGTTTTTGAATTATGCTTTTAAGTAATTTGGGAACAAAAAAATGGAATGAAAAGATTTGCAATATGTTCAGACATGCTCAGTCTGATATGTTTTGCAAAAAACCTGATGATGATTGGAAATTTCTCTTTTCTAGAGCGCATTTATCAATATGTTGTACACGTTATGTAAAATTCATAAATTAACACATTGCAATTAACTTATCTCCCTGTACTAAAAAGGATGGTGATAGAACTGGCCATTTTGCATGTTATGCAAGGTACATCCATATATGACACAAAACATGTGTTTTTATGTTGCTTGTCCTTTGGGTTAATATGGCTGATGGCTTACAGTTACCTGTCTTTTTTGTCCGAGAAAATGTGTAGTGTCCGTTGCTCGGTAATAACTTAAAATAGAAAAGCTGTGGGTGCATATGATTTCAGGTTTTGGAACAGCTGAAGATGCTGACTTAAAACACAGTAGCTATTTCAGTCTATTGCTGTAATTATATAAAATAATGTCAAAAAACCTCAAGGGTGTAGTGTCCGTTGCCATGTAGTGTCCGTTGCCAAGTATACCATATAGGTACATTAATTACATTTTGTTGCAATTTTGAAGTAATTTTGTCATTTATGTTATTTCTGTAGCATTTTGTCAACCCCTTAATGACAGGTCTTGCAAGATTTGGTGTTCTTGTCATGTACTTGAGCGGCCAGATGTGGCCGGCAACGGACACTACAGCTTAGCTGTAGTGTCCGTTGCCGGCCACATCTGAAATGAGTGGGCTAAAGTTTGGAAGAGCACAACTTTTGAACTGAACGTCTCTATCCAAAAATTTAAAAAGTGCAATGTATGGCAACACCTCTAGAGCGATTTTCTGCACTGAAAGTAGAAAAATATAAAACTTGAAAAATTGGCCCAAGTGCAACCCTTTGGCGCACCCTGATCTCGGAATAGCCGAGAGAGAAACTCTGTGTTAAGTACAGAAGCTGCAAGAAATCTGGGTGGTCTGGTTCCAGCTCTTCGGCAAAATTTTGAACTTAGTGAACTTCTGAAATGCTACCTCCCACATTTTGAGGCTCAAATTCATCATCTTAATGTTCTGAAAGTTTCGTGGTGGTTTTGACAACCTGTTAAAAGTATTTCTATGTTTCGATTTTTGTTCATCAAGGAGGACAGAATGATTTGAACTTTTCATGCCTCCTGATTAGCAAAATTCCATGCAGGGACCCAAGGACGGACACTTGAACAAGCGTTGGCTTCAAGTCTTCTGAAAAGAACTAGCTGACTGCTGTGTAACTTAGTACTAGTTCCATGGCTCAGGTCCAAGAAAGCAAATTGTTCACACTTCTTGAAGTCCTTCCAATTCAAGTCCTACTGTGAAAGACCACTCTTTGCAGGTTGATGAGATGTGTATTAGTTTGAGGCAGGGGTGGATTTAAAACGTACTGATACCTACCACTAGCAGGGCTCGAAAAATTGGAACTGTGCACCCAATTTATTTCTGTGAGTGCACCGATGCACTAAAATATTTTCGTAGGTGTATACCGTATATGTTTACTAGTATACAAAAATTCTTAATTAAAAACAAAGTCAGAAAAATGACAAAATCTTTGTTTTTTTGATACTTATAAAACTGTGCATATGCAATTCTACTGTATTTTGTATGGTGTACCCAAATAAATTTTTTGCACCCAATTTTTTTAGACTGGGCGTACCAGTGCGCTTGGTATTCCCAAAAATGATTTTGGAGCCCTGACTAGTTTCATGTGAAGGATTCAAGTGTGAAGGACATAGAAAAAAGTAAATCCCTTCTCCTCTTCTCTACAATCTTTATAATTAGTTGCTAAGGAACTTGTTAGCTCAAGTTGAAGAAGTTATTTGAGTGCAGATCCGGTACTCTTGCGGAATCTGGTTTCTAAAAATCTGATTGGTTTGTTGATCCATGTATTACTTATTTGATCCATAAATTAGATTGAATTAAATACCTTGAATTACAATTCTAAGTCAGGTCTCAAAATACCCACCTCACCTGCAATTTGTACTACTTTGTAGAGAAAAAAAAGTTTGCTAGTACAGTACATGTAATGTTGCAGGTAATGGGAAAAAAAGATTTCTAGCCTAGGCCATATGGAAGTCCGTACGTGATCTAAGTCTTGCAGTTCCACAAGCAAGAATGTATTTGTATTAGTCTCAACCAGTTAAGTATTGAAATGCCATTATTTATGCCATGGTAACAAGGTGCAGGCAAGTCGTTGTGTCCGACTTTAAGTACACTTGGATCTGCAATGATGCAAGCTGTTGAACATACATTGCTTTGTAGTCAGCGTAAGGGGTGTAGGATATCGGTAAAAAGGGAGGTCACTGTACATGCACAAAATACTGTCAATGTTGACATGTTACTAACTTTGCAGTGGTTTAATTATTTACTGGTGGTGATCTCTTCGCTGTGAAGTAATGACACTGTTAGTGTAAATATGTGTTTCCATTGTATTACTGCTGTATTACAGAATTGTTTTAACTGTGAACTTAAAGCACCTAAAACACTTAAAATATTTCCTCTCCTACTGTGAAATTAGGTTGAAGTAAAAACAACTGAATCTGCCGCTCACCCAACCATCCACAGTGTATTGACTGCATTGTATACATGGGTCCTTGACTGCGGTTGTTATTTGTTTAACATTTCAGACGCGTATGCAGAGCATCATCCCCGAGCCCGGCGCGAGATACCGTAGTATCGCGCACGCCTTCAAAACCATCATCCGGCAGGAGGGGCTGCTGAGACCGGTGCGCGGGGTGAGCGTCGTGGCGGCCGGAGCGGGACCGGCCCACGCGCTGTACTTCTCCTGCTACGAGCAGATGAAAAAGACTTTAGGTGGCAACAGTCGTGGGATGGAGCCTGGACACTACCCCATCGCCAACGGTAGCAATGTTTGTACTTGGTATGGATGAATGAGTGGTTAAGGGTTTATGTAATGTCATACATATTATAACTCTGACAGGGATGGCTATGGCCCAATTTACATGGCACAATGAATACATGTGCCCTACCAAGATCGATGCGCGGTATGACAGATTTTTTACCCAAAACTGCTGCACAGCGCCGCACGTTGATTTCCTGTGGCAAATCTGGACGCACCACACGAAAATCAACATACGTCACCATGCATCGTTGGTGCGCTTGTTTACGCATTCAAAACATCTATCGGAGCACATCATTCGACGCAGGAGAAACAATTTTTTTGCCCCGTGTAAATCGGGTCTATGTACACATGCTTCTAAACATTACTTTGACCGCTGAACTTGTGTAGTGTATGTCTAAGTGTTGCGAATCACATAGCTGTATTCTTTGTTAGAATTAGTGTGCCATTGCATGTTAACAGGGCATTTCCACAACTTGATCTTTAAAGTTACCTTTCCGAAGCAAGATCTGTTTTTGGGTGCATGTGTCTGTGTATCTGTTTGTGAAAAGCATGACTCGAGAAGTTGAAGATGAATCTTTATGATATTTGGTATGTGGATAGGACTTGATGAGACCTCAAAAAATTAGATTTAGAACTCACATACCTACATGAAATATCTATCTTTTGTAATTTTGTAATTTCTTAATTTTGTCCAATTTATTATGGAATTACAGATGTAATGAGCATAATCTATTTGTATTTCACTCCATGCTGAGGTTATGGATAGTTCCCAGGCATATGCTCTGGGTTTGTTCCAGGAGTCAATCACAGAAGGAAGAATTACCTGTCAGTTTGCCTGTTATGGGCTGTAATTTTTATATTCACATTTTTTTGCAGTCACTTCTGTACTGTGAACTTATCATTACCACAGCACCTGCCGCCACTGCGGACGTATAGTTCCACAAACGTGTCCATTTTTCTCAGACCGCGTTCTTTTGCTACAGCAAACATAAAGTGATTTACAGTACTATACAGAATATGCAGAGATAAATAATAATGATCACACCATTGCCTTATTTCAAATTAAAAATCTTATGACAAAATTGCTGCTTAAACTACTTCAGTCCGGAGTTCTTTTATGGGAAGCAGTTTGTTTTCCTCTCGTTTTGTCTTTTTTCCAGGTGCGGCAGGGTGTATAGCAACAGTGTTCCATGATGCTTCCATGAACCCAGTAGACGGTAGGTCATCTGGTCCTTATAGTAAAAATACTAGATTTTTTACTTGCCAACGAAATGTTAGCATCACTGCTTGGAATGTTGAAACTTCTCCCTTCAGTTATTTTTGCTGAGGAATGTCTCGAATTTCAAGGATTTTTCTACAGTTACTTACAGACACACTTCGCTAGAGTTTTACCAGTTGTGAAGGCATGTTTCCTGTGCTCAGTTTTTTACTGAATGTCTCCCTTGTAAGTGTCTGTAGAAATCTTGCTTTGTTGGTGGTTGGCCCACCAGTTTTGACTGTAAGTTAACTACTGTAACATGAAGGTTGAGATAATAACACTAACGGGCACATTTTCTTCTTGTCTTTCATCCTGTGTTATGCTTGCTGTGGAATTCTGGATTGTGCCTTGACGTGATATCTACCCGCCGCTGTACAGTTGTGAAACAGAGACTGCAGATGTACGGAAGTCCGTACAAAGGTGCAATAGACTGCTTCCGGACTGTTCTACGGACTGAAGGGGTGGGGGCGTTCTACAGGAGCTTCACCACACAATTGACAATGAACCTCCCCTTTCAAAGCATCCACTTCATGGTGTACGAGTTCATGCAAGAGACTTTCAACCCGTCACACGAGTACAACCCGGAGACGCATCTCGTGTCGGGGGCGATGGCGGGCGCGGTCGCCGCCGCAGTCACCACCCCATTGGACGTTTGCAAAACGCTGTTGAACACGCAGGAGAAGAGAGTACGCAATAAGAAAGCTGCAATCTCGGGGATGGTGGATGCCTTCAGAACGGTTTATCGCGTGGGGGGCTTCTTCGCATACTTCAAGGGGGTGCGGGCGAGAGTCGTGTTCCAGATGCCGGCCACCGCCATCTCGTGGTCCGTGTACGAGCTGTTCAAACACCTGATCACCAATCAGCAGCGATCGGCCTTGTACGCGAAGGAGAGCGGGCGGCGGGAGCCTAAACAGGACCTTGTGCTCCTAAGGCAAGACAAGATGTCGCTAGCTGTCAAGTGAACGTTGTTTCTACATAACATGTGGCAAGATACTGTGTTCTGAGTGTCAAAGATATTATGTATGTGTCTCAGCAGTTCTGGGCGATTCGAAAACTAAAACAAAAGTTGACACGAGCTGATCTGAACAGGTTGTTGTTTTGATTCCCTCTCTTTCAGCCCTTCTAACTTTCAAGTCAAATAAGGGACAATGCAGCTTTAAAAACTAACTCACAATGGGAATTTTTGGCAGCCCATGGGTTACAGAAATCAAATATAAACAACAAAGGGGTCACTGTACATGTACTCCATACGAGAAGTTCTTGCCAATCACAGAATCGTCACTTGAGCCATGAGCATTGTTGAGAAACATTTCACCCAAACTGTCGTCTCCAAATATTCCTTAGTTTGTCCAAGATCTCATGTTCAACTGTCCAAAACTTTCCCAGAGTTCGCCTGCCTTTTCCATACAACGTTCCTTTGTGAGGTCACACCATGTCCTTAGCTTGGAGATGAGAGCATTTTAAAGTGTTATAGCTAGATTTACACCTCAAGGAATTACTCAAAATACCACTTGGCAGCCTTGTGAATTATGCTGGTATTTACACTCTCACAGTAACACGTTTACACTAAAATTCGAAAAGTTGTCCATACAGGGTACATAATTAGTCCCTCTTATTGATTCAATTAAAGTATCTTTACTTAAGAATTAGAATAAACCACAAAATGTCGATATAGCAAATGTGTAGGAATTTTTTTGTCATAGTTCACATTCATTCTAAAACTTGTGTATGGAACAAACCAATGCTCTCAGACCCTGTTGAGTACGTCGTGATGATCTACTTCAGCATTTTTCTTTTTACATCTGAGGACAAATTGCATTGGTGTGGCCTAATCCTTGTCTTAGACAAAATGATCAGGGCAATGTTGAAAGAGATGTGGAATAAGAAGTTATTTTTGCAGAAAGTGTATGTATCCATCTATAGTTATATACATATATACATAGAGGCTAAATAGATAATGATTGGTTACTAAAGAGTTTGACAATAGACAAAGTGCTGGATAATCAAAGTTATGAGAGGAAAGTACATGTAATGGAAAGTGGATTTTTGAAAGTTAATTTGACATTTGGAAAAGAGAAAGTAGCTTTGTGCCTTTTGGAAGTAGTGTTACACTGAACACTGAAGGGTTTCTGCCATTTCTACAAGTGTAAGGAATTTGGAAATTGAGGAATTGGTTATGGGAGTACAATGAATTTAGAAAGTTGGTTTAGAACCTTGGTGAAGGAAAATATATGTATACATTTCAAGCCAGTATCATACTGTCTTCACAAATTTCAGCAATTTGAATTCAACCAGTCCAGACCTTGTCTTGGATACAATTTAAGATTAAGGATCATTTTCTTTTCACAAACTCAGTCAATGTCTTGTACAAAGCAGCTTCAGGTGTTTTGTAATTCATCGCTCCTTCGTCTTCTCAGCACCTGTTTTACCTCAATATCTGCTGCCCCTCTTTTAATTTTCTTGGCCTGGTCACTTTAATTTGCATTGAATTATGTGGCTTAAGAAGATGGCAGGAGCAATTTGACACAAAATTCTATAGTCATATATGGTTAAGACACAAGATTAACAAGACAGAAACTTGTAAAGAAATCAACATTCATTAATACAAGTGGTTTCGCCAGGTTATTACATAGATAACACACAACCTAAGGGATTTTTGTTGTACCAATATTTTGGTAGTCCTAACCTAGTACCTACATGTGTACTTCTGGGTAATACGACTACATCCTTCGAAACCTGGATTTTTCGTTAGATTTTTGGTCAACGTTAGATCAGAATTTTGCCAGTTGCATAACATTTGAAAACACATTGGTATACAACTACAAGCTTAGTCCCCTTTTGGGACTGCATGCATCTCACAAAAGCGCCACCTACATGTAGCAGTTGGAAGTAAAATGTCAGAATTTCTCTGACAGACTTGGACAGACAAATCCCTTTGGTTGTGAAATAGAATTGTTAACCAGTATCAAGAAATCGCTGTTATCTAATTATTGTAACTTACAGTAATCGAACACTGAATTTGCTTTGTCCCATAGCATTGGTGATAAACTTTTTCATTTTGAAGTTCAATGTTCCACTGTCACCAAACACTTCCACATGCACAAAAAAAATAAAGTCATAATTATGATATATGTAATTATAGAAAATGGAAATAACAACAGAGTTGACAAGATGGAAGAAAGCAATGCATAGCAGAAATTGTTTGTTTTTAATGTTTTAATGGTAGGTACTTGAAAAATCTATTCATGTATATGCTGGAATTTGTTTCCCGAATTTCAGAATTGAAGTCACGATTGTATAATTGCAGATAATTTTAAACATGGACAAGAAATGTTGGGAAAGTCTTGTGTCAAATAAATATAATTTGGAATCTGAACACATGGATAGTTTTGTACTTCATATTATAGGGAAACAGAAAGATAGATACTAAACATTGTATAGTTGTATACATTGTGTAGTTTCAGACTTCTGGCATACATGTACATTGTACACACCACTTTAACCATCATTGTCCATTTTGTCAACAGCTTTCAGGGCTCAAATTTTTTTTCTGCATATTATAAATAATATACATTTAAAATTACCTGCATCAGACAAATTTTACCTGCAACACTCTTGACTTTGAGAAGTATGGATCTTACTAACCAGAAACCATTGACATTGACATTTCTTGTATACTGCATATACATGTAGGTGATAACAGTGCAGCAAATAAAAATACACATAACAAGCAGCACTTTAATTATGGAAAAACACTTTAATTATGGACTCCTCACTAATAACTCTAAATTGCTTTACCCAATTAGGTTTATATTTTTTCTGAGTACATAGTAGAAGGTGACAAATATGTGGAATGTGTTAATTAGTCCCTAGGGTATAGTCCAATTATACATAATTATACATGATTATACTATATTTATCTATAATCATGTATGATTATACATATTAGTTTTTCCATTATACATAATTATGTATATCCCTCTTGATCATTATACATAACTATGTATATCCCTTTTGATCATTATACATAATTATGTATATTCCTCTTGATCATTATACATAATTATGTATATCCTTTTAACCATTATACATAATTATGCATATCCCTTTTAACCATTATATATAACTATGCATATCCATTTTGGTTATTATATATAATTATGCATATTAATTTTTACCATTATATCATATAATGACTTTTGGCTATTATTCATAACGATACATAACCCTCATGACCACTATGTATAACTATAGCCATTTTATTGTTATGAACAATAGTAATAAAATAGGTGTAACAAGTCGTTTGGTGTAATGTAGCCAGCTGCCGCCGCGCCGCATGCCTGCGAAGCTGGTGTGTTACGCCGAGAGGCAGCTATACCATCTAAACAAATACAGATACAGAATTAGATAAGGTTATATTTTGGTGTCATGTGGTCTTTAATACTGACTATAGCAAGTAAGTGCTACACTACAATGTACTTCAATTTATTGATACCAATGTTAACTGAAGTTTTTGCTAATGCTATCCATGTCATCTTTTTCTTTTACGTAGAACAAATTCTTTGCCCCTCTTGCCAAAGTTTTTGCTAATGCTACCCATGTCAACCTTTTCCTTTTACATAGAACAAATTCTTACCCCCTCTTGCCAAAGTTTTTGGTAATGCTACCCATGTCAACCTTTTCCTTTACATAGAACGAATTCTTACCCCCTCTTGCCAAAGTTTTTGGTAATGCTATCCATAATTGCCTATCGAAAGCAGTTTAAATGCTGATTTGTGTACCTACATCGTAACAATGGCATGGCGACAAAAAATTGAAATTTTTTCTACTGTCCCAAAATTTCCCGAAAGTGTACATTGAATTGTCCCAGACAAAAGCCTGTGCCACGCCCAACAGCACCTTTCTGTTGACTGGCTCAAGAGTGGAGGTGCGAGAGTTTTAGGGGGATATTTTAAACCCTATAAAATGCTATTTTCTTTGTTTTTGTAGGTGAATTTCAAAGGAAGTCAGATACCCCTAGACTTAGACACTGCTGAAGTTATCCACATGTACAGTAAAAAAATGGCACCCCAAACACGAAAATACATAATGACAAAGCTGTACAGATTGTATGTCAAAAGGCAGGTCGAGGGGATTGGGTCCAGATGATCACGTCACAAGGTTGATGGAAGTTGACCGATAATTTGGAGTAAGTCCCACTTTCATTCCAGTGTTGGAAAGACAGCTTAGACTTCATTCACAATGATGTATACCAACACTGATGAACTTCCACGCTAAGACCTTTTGTTAATGTTTTTATTCACTTTTATTTAAGTCAAATGAAAACCTTTCGCCTGACTTTTCCACACAAAACAACAGTATTTGTCTTTCACCTGGCTTACACAAAACAACAGTACTTGTCTTTAACCTGACTTTTCTACACAAAACAACAGTACTTGTCTTTCACCTGACTTACACAAAAGTTTTGATTAAAACAACAGTACTTCTCTTTCACCTGGCTTTTTTTACAAAAAACAACAGTACTTCACTTTCACCTGGCCTTTCTACACAACACAACAGTACTTCTCTTTCACCTGGCTTTTCTACTCAAAACAACAGTACTTGTAACCCAAGACAAACTTGTCGGTTTGAGAATCGATGTTTCCACTGATAGAAAACTTTACAGAATTATGACCCTGTTGTCCGGTCGCCATGGGAAGGGATTGGGCCAACCCGTGGCAGTCGCACTGGCCAGGTGGCTGCCCTGGGAAGGTCCCTGTATGCTTGCATCAATAGGAAAAAAATTTCAGAACCGAGAAAAGCGGTCCTCAAGAGCACAATAGACAGGTACAGCTAACACTAGATTGGCCAAGGTATTTCTGTGCTATGAAGTCTAATCACCATTTTGATTTATGATTACTTACACCTGTTTCCTGTGCTCTTCTGGGCTAAAGGTGTTATTTTGGCACATTAACTTACATGTAATTTTGAGGGTTTTCAACATAATTATGCCAAAGGCATGTACATACATACCAGTATGTGTAGCAGCGAACTGGGAAGATGCCTTTTTCTTCTTAGAAATGGGAAAGTTTTGTCTCCTGGAATGTGGTGAAATTTATCAAAAAAGTTTTGGGTGTAGAGACATTTGAGTGTGCGGGTCCTGTCAGATTGATCTGTCTGGCCCAGGTGTCAAAAGGTCATGTTGGTCAGTTTAATGTCATTTTAGGGATCTCGACAATAAAAGCATGGAACGGGCCAGGAACGACAGTCTACTATCATGAAAAAGTATGTACAAGACTGTCATACATGTACATGCATGATAGTGAAATGCATGAAAATACATGATGTGAATTTTGAGCTTTGGGAATCATCATTTCAACTAAACATGGTACAAAAATCGTATTATGTCGTGATCGATGATCTATTCTTATGATGTTAGCAAACTTTAATTTTTGCAAAGTTCCTTCTGTTTTAGTACAATAGATTGCTCTAATAGTTTAGGTTTGACTTCAACAAGCAATCTAATAATCTGTGTAGTACAGAATACTTTTCCGGTTCAACCCCAAGCCAAACTACTTCAGCTCCCAAGCCTGGGTGCCATCCTCCGCAGTTTCTGCAGGCTCCCTACCAGAAGCCAGCGTCACTATAGAGCTAGAGAGTTATCTATGGAGGATGACACTAAGGGTACTACATGTACATGTACAATGCAAATGAATGTATAATAAATGCCCCACATTCTCAGAATGTTTCAGTCATTTTTACAGTCACGCCTTCCGCCATGGTTTACAAAAGAGAAGTCAAACCCTTCAGACATTTCATTATGTACATTTCATTATGTACATTTTGTACAGTGTTCTTTTATATTTGTAACTTGCAATTAGCCTTCGGGCATGGATTTGCAATTAACTAAACTTTTCATTATTAAATTAAGTTTCAGAGGCTATAAAAAAGAAACCTTTGATTCCTTCGCATTTTTCAATCCCTCCCTGTCTGCTGTATAGGAGAGGTAAAGGCGGCTGAAAAGAGTAAAAACAGGCCAGAGTAACATGCAGGGGATGTTGGTCAGCCAGAGAGTACAGCAGACTTTGCTGCACCAGCCAATGCCAGCAGCTACAGTGTCCAGCAAAAGTTGATAGAGATAATTGACAGTAGCCTGCTAATCTGGTAGGAGGGGAACCAATTTGTCACCCCCTCCCCATGCTTGCAGGATGGCTTCCCACATTACCATAGGGCAAAACAAACACAGCTCTGAAGGCCAGCCATCCCTGGGTTAGACCCAGGGGTGGGCTAGGGGTAATGGCTAACAGACTGGATGCCAGATCTACTCTCCAAGCAGAGGTTTGGGTTTGGGGTTATTTTTGGCGTGTTTTAGGCTTTTTTATCAGGGTTTCTCTTTTGCACTGGATTTTTTTTCACCCAACCCTTTGGGTTTGTGGGAAAAAAATTCAGTGCAAAAGAGAAACCCCGATTAAAAAGCCTAAAAAACACGCGAAAAATTAACCCCAAACCCAAGCCTCTGCTTGGAGAGTACTGTGTTAATCCCATGCCTGAAACTAGCATGATAACCAGGCTATCTAGAAACTAGACTACTAGCAGGGTTGAAGACAACTATTAAAAAGATACTGTCATAATTATGTACAAGTAGAGTACTACTGTAGAGTATACTAGTCTACCCTCACTGAGTCAGGGCAAGCATTATGTATGCAATCCTCTTCAGCCCATTGTGATAGTGGACCATGTTGTTATGCCGCATATGTCAGAAATATTGTCTACACATTTGTGTCCTGTACATGTACCTCAGAGTAAACTACGTATACAGCTATTTCGTATAGCAGTATGTTCTTATGGCCGTGTTTTCTTTAGATCTTTGCAAATTATCAAGCCTCCACCAGGCCTTCAGAATTAGGCAAAAAAACGAGAAAATTGGCCAGGGGAGTCTGGCAAGTGGGAAGGTTGTTTTTTCCCTCCGAACTGCGCGGCCTGTGAGCAAGAAGCTCCTTACTGTGAGTCAAACACCAAGGCAGCCAAACTCCCATGGCAAATATTCTCCTATATTTGGCCAGTGTAGTCTGGTATACTAGTATACACCTCTTCACCAAGCAACCCCCTCCTGCGTGTCCTGGGATGAAGTGTTCCCTGCTGAGATTCCCTGCTGCATACACCACAGAGCAGGCCACAGAGGCAATTTTGGGGAAGTAGGCTGATAGGATGATACCCCGGCTATAAATGGAGCACAACTAGCTATTTTAGCAACTATCTCAACATCCCTTTTCTGAAGACAAAGTTGTTATTCACACCAAGGAGGTTTTTGGACCTCCTTGTTCACACTTTCAGTTTCAAAAAAAATTGTGCAGCTTTCAGATGGTACAGTGCCATTGGACTTTCTATGATTTCTTG